AGAGAGAGAGAGAGAGAGAGAGAGAGAGAGAGAGAGAGAGAGAGAGAGAGAGAGAGAGAGAGAGAGAGAGAGATGCCCGCTGCATGGATCACAATAGCAGACAGGGTACACTCAGCGTGCGTGGCGCGAGGAAAGACAGGGCAGGCGGGGGGGGCTGATGTCAGAAGAGCGGGGAGCGCAGATGTATGGAACATGGCAAGACAGAGACAGAGAGAGAGAGAGAGAGAGAAAGAGAGAGAGAGAGAGAGAGAGAGAGAGAGAGAGAGAGAGGAGGAGAGAGAGAGCTAATGAAATACTTGCATGCTGACGAAAAAACACCCTCAACAGCGTGTTGTTGTGTTTTTTTTCTGCACCCTGTGCATTTTTTTTATTTTTATTTTTTCTGGTGTTCATTTCTTCCACCCTCCTTCAACGATTGGTCCTGTTCATACAATATATATTATTCATAAAATGTAATGTTGTTTCAACATTGGATCTGAATACAGTGATATATATGCCCTGGCCATCTTTTTTTTTTTTTTTCCCATGAGAGTATGAACCAAAAAAATTTCAATTTATTTCTTTCCGTGTCATACCTTTTCACCGGATTTTTTTTTTTTTTTTTGCCGCCTCAGCCGTTTCCTGGTCGTTGCACGGGCTAAAAAGAATACAAATAATACATTATTTTTTACGTTTTATTTCTATTTTAAATTTTGGTTCGGAATTCCCGTATAACCCTGAGGCAAAAGTCCTTCAGTTTATTTTCTTATATACGATAGTTCTTTTTCCGAATTTTTCCCTTTTTTTTTTCTTTTTTTTTGGCTGGGACCTTCCTTCCTCTACTCGCCGACTCGGGGCAACCACGAAGACCAGAACGACAGCAGCAATCAACATCGACACACAGCGGACAACGTCGAAAACTCAGACACAAGGGCTTCCTACATTCGGCCACAACTCCTTCAAAGACCTGACAAGACAACACTTCATTTACTATGTGCATTCATGCCGGACATATTCACCATAACTTACAATACAAGTCTGGGTCGAGAAGTGGTCTCTTATGATACTGTCTACATCAGAGCGCCATTCTCAATATTGGTGTTGGACACAGGGACAACTGTTATCATCCGGCTTCACTGCTTTCGTCTTGCTTATTTCATGTTTCCTCATGGTACAATACACTTTCAGTTTGAGCGCAACATTGTCTCGCTTTCATGGAGTTCTGACGACACAACTCATTTCCTCATCTACTTTTCTTTTTCTTACATGCTTTCTGAACCTTCATTCCTTCCTCGCCTCGCTGCTTCATTCTTCTGCCTCTGTGAATGCATCACTTCCCTTACTACTGCAACTCGCCTCAGCCGCAGCGTCGCTGCGGCGGGTCCACTTGTTCTTATTGAATGTCTTCTGTATCCCCTCAGTACAATACGGCGCACTTGACAAGAATGGCCCCCGGGGTTCCTATCCAGAGGAGAGAGCACGAGCCCGTTGAGGCTATCCTCACTGCCTTCATGCTCCCCCCCCTGATAGTGTTGCAGGCTATCCGTACAAAAACATTGAAACGCACCGACTATTTGCGTCTATCATCACCAAAGAACACAGACACCGGCATACATCCCGTACAAAGGGGAACGGACAATTTGGCACAACTTAAGGGATTTCACTTGGACACACAGAAAATACTTCGAATAGAAAGAAGTTTTACGTTGGCAGGGGGGGGGGGACAGGGAGGGTGGTTCGCCTCAGCTTCATGGGAAAGTCAAAGGGGGAACAGGGAAGATCAGGGAAGATCAGGGAACGGGACGACTTAAGAGGGACTACAGATTGATTTTCAGTGATTGGACGAACATGGACCCAAACTCCCCTTCCGCTCCCCCTCTGATTTCCCGGACCCTCCCTTCCCCATGCCCTCTCTGTGGTAGAGATCCAATCGCATGGCCATCATGGCGACACTTGAAGAAGGCAGGGACGGTAGACCCTCTGGTGGCCCCCAGAGAAGGCAAGCCCAACCCTGCTCTCGACGGAAGGAGGCAAGACAGTAGCCCGCAAGATGCATAGTGCAGCAAGCGAACAACTCCCCAGGCTAAGAGTAGTGACAACAGGCTGTAGCTGACAGCGGAAGGGCTGAGAGGTTGTGGTTGGGGAACAGACAGCCTGGCATCAGGCTTCTGTCTCAAAAACAGGCTCTTGGTCATGGCCGTTCAGAAGGAAAGAGATACTATTGAAACGGTTTCACCCAGCTGACACGACATTTGCAGACACTGAGATTCGACCCCTAGACCTATGCCTGAACCCTGTACATTGACCCTGTGTGCTGAGTGAGATTCGATCCTTAGACCTATGTCTGTGCCCTGTACATCTACCCGGTGACTGTGTGAGATCCTCCTGTCCTGTGTCATAGGTTAGGCCGTAGGTAGGGAAGTTGGACTTGATCCCTAGGTCTGTACGTTAGTAGTTGAGTCTGTTACCGGTTGTCCTAGGAAGGTCTGTTCTAGAAGTCTCTACTTGAGTTTACTGAGGCCCTAGAGTCAGCCTGTAGGTCTATAGGCTCTAGAAGGCTGTAGGTCCCTGTAGGCCGGTCCAGTCAGCAAGTATCAGGGAAGGGCTGCACGTGGGGGAAGGTTCTGGTCACGCGGTATGCAGAAGGTTCCAGAACACGCATCCTGGGGCCCAGCAGCCACGCGTTTTGAGGCAGGGCCTGGCCACCTCCGTAGAAGTATAAATAAACAGGCAGCGTCCAGCCATTCATTCATTCGCCCGTGAGCCATGCCAAAGTGCTACCTTGGTGACTTGTGTCTGGAGGTCTGCAGGTGCCCGGAGCTGAAGTGGGCAGTGACGAAGACAACGGCCATAGCTGGCCAGGAGGAAGACGTCGACGGCCATAGCTAGGAGGAGGAAGACGGCAGCAGCCATAGCCGCCCAGCTGTTGTCACAGACAGAGTGTACAGTGTGTGTGTGTGTGTGTCTGTGTAGCGTGGACATTCAGGGTAGATCCTCGTACATGCGTGCATGAGGGAGAGTGAGGCTTGTGGTGGAGACAGTGTTCGGCGGTCATAGCGGCAAGTCGTACAGTTGACTTGAACAGAGTTCAACTGCAAGTTCGTTGTTGATTCTAAGTTGAAGAGTTTGGTTTTGCCATCAGTTCCGTGTATGCATGTTGAAAGCAAGTTTGAAGTGCAGTCTGATTTCACTATAACAACTGGCCAAAAAAACAAAAAACAAAAAAAAACTATAACTGGCCACAAACATTCTCATTCACCTCTCTCAGATACTCTCAGATACTCTCAGATACTCTCAGACATTTCCAGACACGTTCAGATTTCCTCTTGTACCATCTACCATACGGGACGCTGGACACGTTTTCCACCAGGTGCCGCTCCCCACGAATAGTTGGAACTCTTAAAAAAAAAAAAAAAAAAAAAAAGAGAGAGAGAGAGAGACGTCTATGTGTGTGTTGCCATATTCCCTACACACAAGTCCACAAAAAAAGCATGACTGTGCCAGACTATTTCGTCCAACTTTCACCAACTCATGAGGAGGTTGAAACCCGACAGTCAACCCAGGATGCATTTGACTGATGGATAAGGACTTACCACGCCGCCAGGAGTTAGGGATACCCCTGAGAAAACTGGTCGACGAGAGAGGGGCGGGGGGGGGGGGGRTGGAGGACAGGACTGGAAAGGTGAGCAGGAAGAGAAATAGGAAGAACGGAAGGACCAAGGCGAAGGAGTTCCCCGTGCTAGTGTACCTGGATTTTCCATGCAGATGCTGAAGAACTCGCATCCAGATGTGCTTTTGCAACTGCTTACTTCCGTGTATGACGAACACTTGCTGTCGCTACTCCCTTCCTCGCCCAAGACCTGTTGCATATTCATCGACTTCATCGTCATAGGCCATCCCGGCACTCCAGCATGGTGGAATATGAGCTTTTCAAAGAGGCCACTTGAATTGGTTTTCCTCGTCTTGAGAACCCTCATTTTTAAATGCCGAGCCCATAGTCCTGATTGCGAAGCGGCACCTGACGGCTGCGCCTGTTCGTGGAGAGACTTTCGTATCTCAGTGACCTTACGATTCTCGGTTCTCCCGTCTGTCCCTTGCGGACCCATCAGTAAACGACCACGTATACCCTTCTTCCCCACCTTGTATCTGTGGGAAACGTTCCTCACCTTGCCCATCACCTGCACGGTACCTCGACCTCCGAGCTGTCCTCTCCTCACCTCCCTCCACCATAGCAAGTAAACTCGTGTACCAACCACGTCTTGCATGCTTTCCAAAAAAGACAGAACGGAGGAGGAGGAGGAGGAAGAAGACTGTGAGAGAACAGCAGCAGCAGCAGAAGAAGAAGAAGACGAAGAAGAAGAAGAAGAAGAATGTTCATCATTCTCGCTCGCCGAACTTCCCTTCTCATCAAGTTGGAGGAGAACGCACACGCCAACTTCGCGAGCCTCGACACATTCCCAAGAAGCCTCTGTCTTCCTTTCCGTCGCCGCTTCTCGTCCTCCGCTGTTTCCCTCCTGCCACACAGCTCCTCCCTCATGCCGCACAAGCCGTGCGGCGCATGAACCTGATGGGCTGTACGTGGAATTGTAACAGCGACTTCGTTTAGGATCTGCAACACCGCGAAAACGATGTCTATTATTATCTTTTTTCTTTTCTTTTTTTTTTTAATCATCATTATTACTATCATATTCTTATTATCATTACCATTATCATTGTCTATGATCAGCGAAGCGCCAGAGCATGTACGAAGCAACTCAAGTGTCAGCAAATAAGATCATAACAACCTCACCCTGCATGAGCCAGAGTCATTTTATCAATCATCATCTCTTGACAACATCCGCCATTGACGTAAACATCACACGTGGCAGTTACTCACCGGTCGCAGCCTCAAAGCAGCATGCAATTCTACACACCACCTATCGTTTCCTTAATAAGAGAGAGAGAGAGAGAGAGAGTGAGAGAGAGAGAGAGAGAAGGTTAGCCATGGAGACCAATCAAAAGGAGAAGTGTCATGAAGACCAATCAAGATTATATCCATGACAATTGTCCTCTAACAGCAACGGGTGAGTTTTTTCAACGTTTCTTTTTCGTTTTTTCCCAGAAGATCCAACTCTTGATGTTACCGGTATTCGTCCATCTATTTGCATGAGGATTTGAACTCACGATCGGTTTCATGGCAGTAACGTCCGCGCACCATTCATCCAGATCAGCCTGGCATTATCGCTTTTTCGGTCTAAACACTCCAGTGACACTTTTCCGTGTCCTTTGCCAGCACGACATGATCTTTCAGTGTGACAGGGAGGCGTGTATGGGGGGCTCGCCGCACCACTCGTCAAACGCCAACATTTTGAATGTATCAGGACACACAGGTCCAGATGCATTCACAGTGTTGCGCATCAATGACACCTGTCCTTCGCCAGCAGGACATGATCTGTCAGCCAAGAGATCCCATTCCTCCTTTTTTTTTTCCTATTTCTTTTCCCTTATTGCTTTTCCACTTTTTCCGATCACTTGTCAATGATTTCATTTATATGTATGAACACAGAAGTCCAGGCCTGGAACCGTGAGAGGACGAGTTTTTTGTTCACTCAGATCAAATTAAATATACCATTAACAGAACATAAATCTCAGTGCTTTTCTTTCCTCATCGTACCCACCTCCCATGCATTGTCCCTGCTCCGTTGTTCCGAGCCAAACGCAGGGCACATTCTCGGCTCCAGATTTCTTTCCTTGGCATTGCGCCTTATTCAATCCGATGCATTCGTCTGCAAGCGTGACGAACAATTGAAACGGACAAACAGACAAGCGACAGGACACCAACAAAGAAACGAACACAGACAGGTACACGGACATAAGGCACATGGTTTAGAGAACAGTCTTAGCTTGAATTTCACACATCAAACAGTCACCCATCGGCACACACGCCCCCCACTCACCTCCACACCCACCGCAGCGCAAGCGCTACTTAGCAACGAGCTCAAAACATGTCATTTCGAAGATCAAATGTATGGCATATATACGTAATGAGCTTAAGCGAAAAGGCCTTACTAGTTTTTCTCAACAGTCACCCATGCCCTGTTTGCAAGTGTAATACTCACTCAACACTTCGAGAAAAGGCCTTACTACAGTAGTTTTTCTCAAAAACAGAGAGGTTGCATACACTAGGCATGCCAACTGTTCGATGGCCCTCCGGGGTAACACCTAGCGATAAGGTGCTCTCTCTCTCTCTCTCTCTCTCTCTCTCTCTCTCTCTCTCTCTCTCTCTCTCTCTCTCTCTCTCTCTCTCTC